TCTCTCAGCCTTGCAGTCTGTGAGATGCTCCAGTCCCACCGTGGTGGCCCCTGGTTGGACACCCCAATCTTTCTCACACCCGCGAGCCCAGCACAGGATGCAGCTCTCCAGGGGTGGCCTCACCACCACTTCTCATCGCTAACTATGGAACATGTTAAGCACAATTAAAATTACTTTTTTTTTTTTTTTTTTTTTTGTAAACTTCAGGACTAGATGGTGTGTTACCTGTGAGTTTTATCAGCCAAGGAAGCAATTAGCATCAACTGTCAGTGAATGCCAATGGCTACGCCCTGGGGGCCTGCAGGGGCAAAAATCTAACACCATTCACAAGTTTGTGACATGAAAGGGATTAATTCCAGGTCAATTAGTCTAATCAAAGGCCAAATCACACAAAGAGAAGGGAGTTAAAAAGAGAAGGAGAAGTGATTAGCAGTGGGGGCTTTTCTAGAAAACAGCTTTTGGTGAGCAGAAAAAAAAAGAAAGAAAGAAGGGCATTGTGAAAGAAGGGCAATGAAACTGGGAAAGGATCTGTAGGACAAGTCATATGTGGTGCAGATGTGGGAGCTGGGGGTGTTCGGGCTGGAGACGAGGAGGCTGTGGGGAGACCTCCTCACCCTCAACAACTAGTGAAAGGAGGTTGGAGCCCGGGGTGAGGGTCAGTGTCTTCTCCCAAGTAACAAGTGATAAAAGTGAGGCAATGGCCTCAGGTTGCACTAGGGAAGGTTTAGACTGGATATTAGGAACAACTTCTTTATTGAAAGGGCTGTCAGGGCCTGGCCCAGGCTGCCCAGGGCAGGGGGGGAGTCCCCATCCCTGGAGGAGTTTCAAAGCCCTGGAGATGGTGCTGAGGGACACGGGGCAGTGCTGGGTTAATGGTTGTACTTGACGATCTTAAAGGTCTTTTCCAACCCAAACGATTTGGAGACGAGCAGAGAAGCGCAGCGCCCCGCACCCGGGGGCGCCGGCAGGGCCAGGAGTCCGAGCCCGCCCCTCACTGGCCCCCGCGCTGCCCCCAGCC